CGGCAGGGACAGGGCCGTGACCGCGGCGGCGGCTCCTGCTGTCGGCGGCGGCGGCAGTTGCGGCCCCGGCAGCGGCGGTGGCGGCGGTCACGGCAGCGGCTGTGGCGGCTGCTTCTGTCGGCGGCGACGGCTGCTGCTGTCGGCGGCAGCCGCTGCTGTTGGCGACTTCTGCTGCTTTCGGCTGCTGCTGTCGGCGGTGGCGGCTGCTGCTGGCGGCGGCGGCGGCTGCTGCTGTTCACGGAGGAGGCAAGAAGGGGCCGGGAAGGGCGGCGAAGGGGCCACGAAGGACCGTTGTTGGTGCAACCCTACGGTTCGCACTCGGCTTGTTGTCCGTGTGCGTGCATGTGTGTGTGTGTCTATGGAATGGTATGAGGGCATGGGATAATATATATTTCATGCTTATAATTGTGTGTGAATGTTGAATCATGATGTTGAGTGTGTGTGTCGAGTCAATAGCGAGTTATCACTAGACGCGTGTTACGCGGTCGTTTGTGTCTCGCGCGCGGTTTCTATCTTTGTCGTGCGCGGTCTCTATTTTGTCCTGTGTCGAACGTTCGGTGTGTCGCAGGTGTGTGCAGCAGACCCATCAAGAACTCAAGGATGAGTTTGTGATGAAGAGCCTGAGCCTTGGTGTCAAGCCTCAAGTGATTTCGAAGCTCGCAAAAAGGGTACACCTCAAGATATTGAAGATAGTTACATTACTTTGTGTAGTGTAACACTTCACTTGGTGTAGGCCCTAGTGAAGGGTAGTTTCGAGACCCTTCGTGGTTGGGGACAGTGTTGCACTGTTCCACATCACTGTACCTCGGCTCTTGGGGTTTGTAGGAGCTGGGAGTCATTCCCAACTCGTAACTCTTCATATCTCTTCCTATTTTGTGTTCTAAGACTATAGTGGCTGCCATAGTGCCGTTCCTTCAAACCAACACTGTGTCGTCAATACTTGGTGAAATTGTGCGATCTAAATTGCCTACTGTAGGCGACAATAAGACGCTCTAGATCCAAGTTGAATCAGGTCATTTGATGTTGTGACCAGAACGGTATGAACGTTTGAAGCCGCTGTGCAGATACCCGGTTGTGCACTCTATCTTTCGTTTTAGGCACATTGGAGCCTATTGTGACTATAACAAGTGGTATCAGAGCCCCTTGGAGCAGTTTCGACAATGGGTGGACTTGAGGAAAGGGGTGGCAGAGGTGCTGGTGGCAGAGGAGAAGCCCAAGCTCAAGGCCAACCCCGTGATTCAACCATGGCGCCCGTGCAACCAAGTGTTGGCCCATCTAGGGATGAGCCTAGAGTATTTGGCCTTGACAAGTTCAATGGTGACAACTTTGCTGAGTGGTCCTTCAGAATGGAGAACATATTTGACCACTATGACCTGCTGGAGGTGATGGAAGGAACGGAGAAGCGTCCCGAGAACAACCCGGAGAAGAGCCCGTGGGTGCGGAAGAGCGCACAAGGATACCTCCTACTTGGGCAAGCGTTGGGGAGCAGCCAAATCCGTCACATCAAGCCTTTCCAGCGTGAACCAGAGAAGGGACCAAAATCATGGGCTGCTCTCAAGGGTGTACACGCTCTTGCAACAGCGGCGGTAGCTGTGGTGTTGGAACGGCAAATGGCGACGTTACGAATTGAAGAGGATGAAGCGGTTGAAGAAGGGGTGCAGAAATTCTTCGACTTGTTGACGCGGCTTGAGGAAGCGGATTTGAACTATAGCGAGCTCCAAAAGAAGACCAAGTTGCTGGCCCTACTCCCCGAATCATGGTCCTCAATCATCATCAACCTGAATCGCGACTTGTCCCGCCTCTCGCTCGAAGACGTGAAGCGGGCTATCCTTCAAGAGGATTTCCGCCGCCGTGAGTTGGCGAGTGCGGATGGCGCTGGGGCAGCGAGCATCGGCCGTGGATATGGTCGAGGAAGAGGCAGAGGACGAGGGGGAGGAAGGTTTGGTGGCAGCAACTTCGGCGGAGGCCGCAGGAGTGGCGGTTACGGTAGCGAACGACAAGAGCTACGGACGCGGTCGCGACCGATTCGACGGCGAGTGTCACTATTGCCACAAGAGCGGACACATGTGGCGCGACTACTACAAACTCCCTGATGGTTGGACCCCTGCTCAAGGCCAAGAGGGTAGAGGAGTAGGAGGAGGGAGAGGACGAGGCCGTGGAGGCCGTGGCGGTCGCGGTGGCGGAGCTGCAAACATGAAGAGCGGAGACAACGACAAGGACCCGAGCAACGGTCGATACCCGGGTCTATTCTACTTCGTGTCGACGCAAGCACCGGCTGGTCCAGAGAAGGATGAAGGCTTTGAGGAGCCAGCAGCTGTGGGGAAGGTGACCCTACACCCCCTGGACTATTGGGTGATTGATAGTGACGCTACCTATAGCATGACACCTCGCCCGGACTTGCTCACCGAACTCGAGCCGTCACCGGTGAAGCATGTCACATCGGCTTTGGGGCAGCGAGCAGAGGTGAAAGGCATGGGGAAGGCCATGTTCAAGGGTGCTGATGGGAAGATGGTGGGCCTCAAGAACGTGCTTTGGGTGCCCAGCCTTGCTGCAAACCTGATTTCCGTGCGGCGGTTGGCAAAGGCCGGCATGGACACTAACTCGAAGGGAGCCAAGACCTACACCGCAAGGCTTGGCGATCGGGTTCTTTGGGACCTTCATGAGGACATGGATGTCTACAACGAGATGTGGCAGATCCCAGTGGTCCCTATGCCTAAGGAGAGGCAAGGGGCAGCAAGCGCCAGCACCAAAGGTGAAGCGGTTGGTAGCGGCGATTGCGCGGACGGTCGCGCTAAGGAGAAGGAGTCCAAGAAGTGGAATCTTGGAGGGACCAGTTAGCTCAGTGATCATAACAAGTGTGGTGCAGCTGCCAAGGAGCATCACAAGGGTGAGGAGAACCCTGAGACAGTAGCGGAGGAGGAGTACGGAGAGAGCATGTGGGGCGCTATTGCGAGCGCAGCATTCTCCAATCCGACTTCGGCTACGGGGGAGTGTGTTTGGCTTACCTTGCATCGGCGAATGGGGCATGTGGCCCTGCCTATCTTGCAGCAGCTATTGAAGAATGAGATGGTTGCTGGCATACGTGTGAAGGGGGAGCCCGATGAGGTGCTTGGCTGCCCGACGTGCATTCAAGCCAAGTTCACCCGGTTTCCGTTCCCTAGTTCGGAGGCAACGGCAAAGGCACCGCTTGATGAGGTGGTGATGGACGTGGTGGGCCCCCTGAAGCTTGGAGCTGCTGGAGCTGAGTATTTTCTCACCATTGTCGACGTCTACACCCGCATGACTTGGGTGTATGTGCTGGCCAAGAAGAGCGACGTGGCTGAAACGTTGAAGACGGATTGGTTCCCGATGGTGGAGCGGCAACAAGATCGTCTAGTCAAGTCAATCCGCACCGATCGAGGGGGAGAGTTCCTGAGCAAGGAGTTTGGGTTGTGGCTGAAGAAGAATGGTATTCGGCGCTCCCTCACCATGCCATACTCCCCTGCAATGAATGGCATCGCCGAGCGAGCGAACCACACAATCACGGAGGCGGCGCGCGGGTTGCTCATTGAAGCCGGGCTACCCGACTATTTCTGGCCTGATGCGGTGCGGAGCGCGTGTGTGGCCAAGAACAGAGCCTTGACTCATGTGGGAGCAGACAAATGGGTGCCCTATGTGGAGTGGCTAGGAAGGAAGCCAAAAGTGGATATGCTTCGGGTGTTCAGGTGCATGTGCATAGCGCTCGTGCCTAAGCATCTTCGGCACAACAAGATTGGTGCCAAGGCGGTGTGGGCCGTGCACTTGGGCATGGCTCAAAACAGCAAGGGATGGCTTCTTTGAGACCCATTCACCAAGAAGTTCTTGGTGAGCAGGGACTGCAAGTTCACGGAGAACTTCATGTACAAGGATTGGAAGGCGGAGAATGAGGCGAAGATAGGCGTGCGGTTTGGGGAGGTGAAGAGTTCCGGTTTGGAGCATGTGGAGCTGCCTTTGGAGCTGAGCAGTGGCAGCACTACCACAAGGCAATCTTCCCTTGTGAATGGGGGAGAGGAGGCCAATGATGCAGAGGAAGAAGAGGAGGAGGTGCAGCAAGTGAGCGAGCGTGCACCGTCACTCCCTTCCCGCACTACGAGTGCTCCACGGATTCGAGCCACACCGCAGCAATGCCAAGGCCCTCAAGTCCCTATCAAAATGTTTAAGTAGAGGTAGGCTTAGAAGCCATAACTTAGGTGCCTAGGTGATCGAGTTCGAGGGTGAGGAGGAAGGTATCGAGAGATTTTAGAAAGAGAAGAAGGGTGTTTCACTAGCAAGAGTTGGGATACAAGTACAATGCCCTAAATTGGGTTGTACTCATTACACAGTACCCCACTGCAGGCTAGACAGCAAATATATTCTGACACACCCCCATAGCCAAAGTGGGGTGTAATCAGCAGAGCAGGCAAAGCAGTACAAGCTCAAGGTGGATCACAATGTCACCACACATTCTGAGCACAAGTTCAAGAAGCAATAGTTAAAGTGCACAATTATCAGCAAAGCTAGTGGTAGTCACAACGGGCAAGTGAGGAGGAGGAGGGATAGTGAGAGGAGAGGAGATAGAAGGCGGCGGCTGAAGCTGCAGACACACGGGCAACAGGAGTGGCGAGCACAGTGGCTACCGGACTAAGCGCCCGGACTACAGGAGTAACAGGCCCCGCGGCTCAAGTGGCGGCAGACGGGCAACGGACCCTCGGGCGACTGGCGCAGCAACAAACTCACTGGGCTACCGGACTAAGCGCCCGGACTACAGGTGCTGCGGACAACAGACTGGCAACCTCCGCTCATCCTCCCGCACACAGTCCCACCCCCCTGATACACACCCGCTGCTATACCGCTAGCTCCACCCACCCCCCTTAAACCCTAATCCCCAGTCTCCCACACATCCACCCCCCCCCAGCGAGAGCTGTAGCAGTGGGAGACGAAGGAGGAGGAGGAGGAGGGGACGGCACGCACAACCGACACCCCCACAACTAGCACCCCCACACTCACCCCCCACGGCTGCACCTGGTCCATGAGCGGCTGCTGCAGGGGCCAGGGGCGGCTGCTGCTGGGGCGGCTGCTGCTGCTGCTGCTGCTGCTGGGGTGGCCGCTCCAGAGGCAGCTGCTGCTGGGGCGGCTGCTCCCGGGGCTGCTGCTGCTGGGGCGGCTCCAGGGTCTTCTGCTGCTGGGGCGGCTGCTGCAGTAGCAGCGGCTCCAGGGGTTGCTGCTGCTGGGGTGGCCGCTTCAGAGGCAGCTGCTGCTGGGGCGGCAGCTCCCGGGGCTGCTGCTGCTGGGGCGGCTCCTGCTGGTGCGGCTGCTCCAGTGGCTGCTGCTGGGGTGGCCGCTTCAGAGGCAGCTGCTGCTGGGGCGGCACTTCCCGGGGCTGCTGCTGCTGGGGCGGCTGCTCCCGGGGCTGCTGCTGCTGGGGCGGCTCCTGCTGGTGCGGCTGCTCCAGTGGCTGCTGCTGCTGGGGCTGCTGTTGCTGCTGCGGCGGCTCCTCCAGGGGCTGCTGCTGGGGCGGCTGCTCCTGGAGCTGCTGCTGCTGCTACGGCGGCTCCTCCAGGGGCTGCTGCTGGGGCGGCTGTGGCTGCTCCAGGGGCTGGTGCAGCGTGGGTGGCCGCACCTGGGGCTGCTGCAGCGGAAAGTAGGATGTAGGGGAGGTGAAGGGCGCGGCCCCCATTGTGCCCTGAAGGGCGACGTGAGAGGGAGCCGCGCTAGGTCCCCGAAAGTGCCTCGACGGGCAACAAGAGGGGACCGCGCGCAGGCCCCTAAGGTGCCGCGATAAGGTAACGGGAGGGGCCGGCGCACGGGCCCCGAAAGTGCCGCGACAAGGAGAAGGGAGGGACCTGCGTGCGGGCCCCCAAAACGCCGCGACGAGGCGACGGTCGAGGCCAGCGCGCGGGCCCCCAAGACGTCGCGACGAGGTAGGTACCCGCCGCGCGCCTCGGGGCGCACGGCGGGCAGAAAACCGCCACGCGCCCCGAGCGTGTGGCGGGAAGAAAAATAGGTGGTCGCGCGCCACGGGGCGCACGACACACAATATGGCAGCGGAATCGAGTGGGCCCACAGGCCAGGAGCGTTAAGCTCTGATACCATATCAAAATGTTTAAGTAGAGGTAGGCTTAGAAGCCATAACTTAGGTGCCTAGGTGATCGAGTTCGAGGGTGAGGAGGAAGGTATCGAGAGATTTTAGAAAGAGAAGAAGGGTGTTTCACTAGCAAGAGTTGGGATACAAGTACAATGCCCTAAATTGGGTTGTACTCATTACAGAGTACCCCACTGCAGGCTAGACAGCAAATATATTCTGACAGTCCCTGCAGCTGAGGAGGAAGGAAGGGGGAAGAGGAGAGTTCAACCCCCTAATAGGCTGACCTATGATGCACTTGGAAAGCAAGGCAAGACAGCCCTGGCCGGAGCGGCAATGATGGTCGGAGACGACGAGGAGAGTGACTACGAGGAGTGTGCCTTCGCGTTCTTCTCTCCGGTGGAGATGCCGGGAGAACCAGCAACTCTCAAGGAGGCTTTGGAGAGTGGTGATGCTGAGGAGTGGAAGAAGGCCATGGAGAGTGAGCTGAAGAGCATCGAGGAGAATGACACGTTTGAGTTGGTGGAGCTACCGAAGGGGCGTACGGCGATAACGTCCAAGTGGCTCTTCAAACTCAAGTCGGATGCCGACGGCAAGATCGAGCGCTACAAGTCTAGGCTTGTAGCCAAGGGGTACCAGCAAAAGGAGAAGGTGGACTTCAAGGAGCTGTTTGCCCCTGTGGTGAAGCCGACAACGCTGCGAACCCTATTCGCGGGAGCTGCCATCAAAGGATGGGTGGTGAAGCAAATGGACATTGTGACGGCATTCCTTAACGGCATCCTTGAGGAGGAGATTTTTATGGCGCAGCCAGAGGGGTTTGATGATGGTAGTGGCAGAGTGTGGAAGCTGAAGAAGGCCCTCTATGGGCTGAAGCAGGCCCCTAGGCAATGGTACATGAAGCTGCGCGAAGTGTTGGAGGGGATCGGCTTCACTCCCTCAACGGCCGATCACTCCTTGTTCATGCTTGGCGAGGGGGAGCAGAGGAGCTTCATGGTGGTTTATGTGGATGACATTCTTATATTCTCCCCCTCCTCTGACCTTGTGAAGGAGGTGATGCTGAAGCTGCATGACAAGTTCAAGTGCAAGTCCCTTGGTGACGTGAACTTCTACCTTGGGCTCCACATCGAACGAGACGTGGAGAAGCGGAGCATGCGAGTGCACCAACGGAAGTACCTGGAGGCGTTGGCTGCCAACTTCGGCCAGAGTGAAGGTCATGTGGCTACTCCCTTTCCCTCTGGGTTCAAGTGTGTGAAGGGACCAGAGGAGGAGAGCGTTTGTGAAGAGGAGAGGCGCCGTTTTCACTCGTTGGTGGGCAGCCTCATGTATGCGGCGGTAAACACCCGACCGGACGTCGCGTTTGCTACCGGGCAGCTGGCTAGGGTTGTGCAATGCCCTAATGAGGAGCAGGTAGCAGCTGGAATGAGGGTGGCCAAGTATCTTGGCCAAACACCGACCGTTGGGCTGCAATACTCGGCGGCGGCACAAAGGCGCCAAAAGGGCGCGGATGGTGTTGAACCCGGGCGTTTGTTCCTCACCGCCTACTCGGATGCTTCATATGCATCGGAACCAGAGGACATGACAAGTGTGGGAGGCTTCATATGCTGTGTTGGTGGAGGCCCAACTGCTTGGGAGAGCAAGAAGCAGGTTGACCAAGCTCTGAGCTCGGTGGAGTCCGAGTACATGGCACTCTTCCGTGCCGTACGGGAGATTGTGTGGCAGCCGCGTTTGTTGGCTGAATCGGGGGAGGAGCAGCAAGGACCTACCCCACTGTATTGTGACAGCCAAGGTGCCATTTCTCTTGCTAAGAACCCTGTGTTGCATGGACTCACAAAGCACATGAGGGTGAAGTGGCATTGGACGAGGAGCATGGTGACTGCGGATGAAGTTGAGTTGCGGTACGTGAAGACCACGGGGCAGCCGGCTGACATGATGACTAAGAGGCTGGTGGAGCAGCAGCATTGGAAGTGTTGCAAGCTGGCTGGGATGGCTCTGATCTGAGAGAGCAACATATCCTAAGGCCAACAATCCGAGGGGGAGTTTGTTGGTGCAACCCTACGGTTTGCACTCGGCTTGTTGTCCGTGTGCGTGCATGTGTGTGTGTATGGAATGGCATGAGGGCATGGGATAATATATATTTCATGCTTATAATTGTGTGTGAATGTTGAGTCATGATGTCGAGTGTGTGTGTCGAGTCAATAGCGAGTTATCGCTAGACGCGTGTTACGCGGTCGTTTGTGTCTCGCGCGCGGTCTTTATTTTTGTCGTGCGCGGTTTCTATTTTGTCCTGTGTCGAACGTTCGGTGTGTCGCAGGTGTGTGCAGCAGACCCATCAAGAACTCAAGGATGAGTTTGTGATGAAGAGCCTGAGCCTTGGTGTCAAGCCTCAAGTGATTTCGAAGCTCGCCAAAAGGGTACACCTCAAGATATTGAAGATAGTTACATTACTTTGTGTAGTGTAACATTTCACTTGGTGTAGGCCCTAGTAAAGGGTAGTTTCGAGACCCTTCGTGGTTGGGGACAGTGTGGCATTGTTCCACATCACTGTACCTCGGCTCTTGGGGTTTGTAGGAGCTGGGAGTCATTCCCAACTCGTAACTCTTCATATCTCTTCCTATTTTGTGTTCTAAGACTATAGTGGCTGCCATAGTGCCGTTCGTTCAAACCGACACTGTGTTGTCAATACTTGGTGAACTTGTGCGATCTAAATTGTCTATTGTAGGCGACATTCAGACGCTCCAGATCCAAGTTGAATCAGGTCATTTGAAGTTGTGACCAGAACGGTATGAACGTTTGAAGCCGCTGTGCAGATATCCGGCTGTGCACTCTATCTTTTGTTTTAGGCACATTGGAGCCTATTGTGACTATAACAACCGTGAAGGGAGGGGGGGGGGGGGGGGGGGCGCGAAGGGCGGCGACAGGGCCGAGACGGGACCGCGACGGGCCGCGAAGGGTGGCGACGGGGCCGAGACGGGGCCGTGAGGGGCCGCGAAGGGCGGGGACGGGGGCGAGAAAGGGCGGCGACGGGGCCGCGAAGGGCAGCGACGGGGCCGAGAAGGGGCCGCGAGGGGCCTCGAAGGACGGCGACGGGGCTGAGAAGGGCGGCGACGGGGCCGAGAAGGGCGGCGATGGGGCTGAGAAGGGCGGCGACGGGGCCGCGAAGGGCGGTGACGGGGCCGCGAAGGGCGGCAACGGGGCCGCGAAGGGGCCGCGAGGGGCCACGAAGGGCGGCGACGGGGCCGCGAAGGGCGGCGACGGGGCCGCGAAGGGCGGCGACGGGGCCGCGAAGGGCGGCGAAGGGGCCGCGAAGGGGCCGCGAGGGGCCACGAAGGGGCTGCGAGGGGCCTGAAGGGGCCAAGAAGGGCCGTGAGAGGGGCCGTGAGGGGCCGTGAGAGGGACCGCTACGGGGCCGTAAGAGAGCGCGACGGGCCGCTAAGGGCAGGGGACGCGACGGGAGGGTAGGCACGCGGGGCGCGACTCGGGCAGGGGCGAAGTGCGCTCCGGGCAGGAAAAAAAATTGATTTTCGGTGGGCCCTAGGAAACGTTCCCACTAGGGAACCTGCTCTATACCATGTGAAAGAACGAGGAATGAATGCTCTAGCAAACAGGTGGGTACAAGTAGGATAACCTAAAAGTGTTGTACCCCATATTGTCTACCCCACTACAGCCTATACAGACTATAGCATATAAGTTTGACACGAGCCCCAGCTACAGATAGCCGGCCTGAAGTGCTTTGCTAACAGCGACGTGGAGACGCTGCCTGGGGTCAACCTCGAGCTGCATGTGGAGTTTCGCGCCACTCACGTGCTAACCTTCATGGTCATCTCGCGGTGGTGCTCGCCGATGGTTCAATTCGACCTGAAGTCATGCCGGACTCGACTGGACGCCAGCCATTAGGCATGGCGGTTCATTACGACTTACCAGACGACTGACAACTTGTAGATTGGCCAGCTGGAGGAGCAGATGGCCCACAGGATGGGCGAGCATGAGTCGGCAACAGACTAACGCAATCGAGCTCGGTGGATCTTGACCAATATGAGAATGGCCGGCGTCGAATACTTGACGGCGTCGTACATCACGCACATTGTCAAGGGCTTGCTAAGCAACAACAACCTTATGTGGCGGGTAATGGTGATGCCCGGTATGCGGGAGTCGCTCGATGAGGACACGCAGACCTCCCATATCATCAGGGACGAGGCGATGCAGGAGGCCAAGAGGCCCACGAAGCTCCTGCCGCAGGCAAACTACGTCGCCCCAACAAAGCAAGGAAGTCGATTGGGGTAGCGCGGGAAACTTGGCGGTGGTGGTAGTGGAGGTGGAAAGTTGGTGGACACTGACAATATAAAGTCGGCTCGGGATGGTGGTCTATGAGGGGGAGGTCGACGGCGTGAATGCTGGGTTTGCGGCGACCCCGACCACCTCTCCTTCGAATGCCCCGACTGCGACAGCTCCCACGACCGAAAGGGAGGCCGCGGGATTTGGGCCAACAGTCGCCGGCATCGGGATGAGAAGCCGCGCAAGGAGAAGTAGTCGGCGAAGGATGCCTCCTCCTCTGGCGGGAAGGGGCAAGGCGGCGGTGAGGCATCGTGCTTGCTGGTTGGCATCGTGGAGCCAATCGTCTCGCTGGCGGCAGAGGCTGGCGATGACGTCAAGGCGGTGGCGGCTGCCGTACAGGCGAACCCGGCGGTGGTTCTACTTGACAGCGGCTGCTCGCACCACCTGATGGGGACGAAGGAGTCCTTCGTTGACTTGGGCCAAGCGGTGCCGTGAAGCACATGCGCGACTTCAATGGGGCGCTATAGAACGTCTAAGATCGCGTCACCGTCACTCTGCAAGACGAGGTCGGAAAGCAGGTGCTCATCCGTGACGTCCTTTACGTTCCGGTGGTGCAAGCAAACCGGCTGTCAGCCAGTCAGCTGAAGGACATCCGCGTGTGACTGCAGGACGACGCCGATAAGATGCTGCTCGTCTCAGCAGCGAAGGACATGCTTGGTCGGGAAAAGTACACCGGCTGGGTCCTCTATACTGTCCTTCCTCCGTGCACGGCAATGTCGACGATGGCCACAACGAAGGCGGTGGCTCTACGGACAATCGTTACGGTGACCAAGTCGACGCCGGCCAAGTGGCACGCGAGGCTCGCGTACGTCGGCGTCAACAGCATCAAGAGCTCGGCAAAGCACGAG